CACGCACTCTTGCTTCACCCATTGATCCCCACCGTGATGGAGCGAGCGAACGACGGATCAGGACAGCAACCCAATCATATGCGAAGTGCTGAGGGCGGTCCAGACTCTTTTACCGCCCTGGCTCTCTCATGGGCTGTGACCACCAGCGATGTGCTACGTGGCTGAGATAGCATTTCCTGGCAGAATCCTTTTTTCCAACTTGCGATCTTTCCGCTCCGCGTCACCCAAAGACTGGGACGATCTGTCCTCGTTGGTCAGATCAGCCTTGGGGACTATCCGGCTGAGATTGAACTCCAAACAAAGGGTGAAAGTCGCAAAATAACGCCACTCACGACACGACTCTTGGAAACCAGAACAGATCAAGGCCGGTGAAATTGAGGCCGAGCAGCCTCATGATGGAGTAAGCAAGCGAATTGACTGGTGGTTGCAGCAGCCACGTATGTAAGGCCAAAACAGACGCCGTCGAAGATCCATGAGCGCCAAGACCCGAGCTTGTGAGCAGATTCGGATGTCGTCGTTTCGAATGACCCTCTCTCCTTTCTTTCTTTCTTTCTCCGCACTCACTCGCCCACTCACTGAACCCTCACACCTGCTCTCTGCTTCGTATCTCTCGGCTGGTTTCAATGAGTCGTGGTGATTCATCGGCATGGTAGACAGCGTGGAACTCATTAATGGGCTAAAAACTCTCAACCCCATCGAATGGATCCAAAAAGGGAATATTTCAACGAGGAGAGACTAGGAGGCCAGGGTTACCTCAAAGTCCTTCACAACCTTTCGCCCCCATGAGCTTTCAAAAAACCCCCCGGTTACCTATCCGAGGCTAATGCACTGCCCAAAAGCGAACAGGGTTTAGCCCGTTACCCTTGTCACCTCGTTGACACCCCCTCTGCCATGAGATCTCTGGAGATTGGGACGCGCGCATGCACGGACACGCAGGCTTGTCAGAAATTCTCTGGCTTTCTTGCTGAATTTGGAGCACATACAACCGATCATGGGAATTGTCGACGAAATTCTGAGATGACCAGGGGACGCGTGTGGCCTCCGCAACCTCGCCTAACTTGCCGCTCTGATTGAAGACAACCTTGCATTGCGAAGGTTTCCGCCGTTATCGAACCACTCTCCTCCGTGACCTGGTTGGATTATCTTTCCTTGCGGTGGTTCTCTTCCCATGCGAGTCGCCCTTGGTCAATCAAATAATAGATTGTGGAGCCTCTAGTGTGTGGTCATAGCGGTTTCAGCTGCATCCACCCGTGATTGCATATGCGAGTGTTTGTCGACTTCCGAGAAGATCCATGCCACCCGTTTCTAAAGCTGATCGTTGAAGCTCACACCCAGAAGAGTCTTTTCATTGGATGTTCAGCTGAATAACAAAATAATGCATCTCCAGGCTGGCGAGATTTTGCAAGTGAATTTTGATATTCCTCCTGGTACGGGTAAATTCCATTTTTGTGCGACGAGCAGATTGCAGCCTTTTTCCCAAGGATAATGAGGAACTGTGTTGCCAATTTGGAGCAATCATGATCAAATTCACAAATCACAGCCAAGCACGCAAACCAACGACAAAAGGTAAATTAACTCTTGGCCAGCTTTATCTCCATGTTGCTTTTGGTATTCACAGCATAATAAATGCCGACAGAGAGTTACAAGCACAGTTGGAGAAAAGGAATAGACACTCGCTTCATGCGAAAATAATTTCTAGGCCTAGCTAAATATTGCAGTTAATCTAGCCGCGTTTTTCTTTCAAATACCCTACAGCTGGAGTACAAATTAGGCCTTCTCAAAGACCGTCTAGGTGTTGGTACACTTGGGCTCATTTGGTCTTATTCTGACCGCCAACTTGTCCACACCGACATCAAGCACTTTCGTACTCGTGGCCCTCGGGCCCCGGAAGACTTCGAGGTGTAAGTTGTGACGAACCTAGGAGCCAAGTTATCGACGTAGACGGTCTGAGACACACACACCGAGCATCGACTACGGGCCTGCAGCAGTACCAACCCAACATTGATATAAGTGCGATGTGCACCGTTTTCTGAGCCAAACGTATTTTTTCTACACCGCATACCCGCGCCTTGGCCCTCCAATCTTTCCCGGTCTAATATTTTGAGTTCACTGTTAAGGTTATCAGCCCTACTTTGTCTAACTTGCGATGCTCTTTGAATATGTGGCTTATCTTACAACTTATCATAGTATACCTCCTTTGAACAAGATTAGAGTAGAGAGCTATCCAAAAGCAGCCGGCTGACAATTCTCTTTCTCTAGCTTTAAGTGCGAGTGTGTCCACTCAGATCTCATCATGATCAAAAAAGAACCCTTTCCATCATCCTCTTCCCCCTCCTGGATACACAAGCTCCCACTATTTGTCTTCAGATATGTTACACGTGAACTTGTGTTACCTTTGGTTTCTCCCTCTTCACAACTGTGTGCAACTCTGACAAAGGAGGAAAGAATCTCAATGGCCTTAGGCCATCATTCCTTCGAGCACAGTGAGCTCATTACATTATCGAGGGTGACAATAGACAGAAGGAAGCTTAAGAACGCAGGGACTCTCTGTAGCTTCTTTTTCAGCCATTATATTCGATTTAGAATATTACGTTTCAGGCCAGGGCAATGAGAACGAGGATCTTCTAGGTCTCTGATATCAAGTTGGGAGCAGAGCTGAGGTTGCGGCTTGAATCTTCGTCCGGTAATTGAGTCGAGAGACACTGCTGGAAGCTAGAGGCTCGAGTGACTGTGTCCGGGTACCAAAAGAGATAATTCTTATTTTCTTAGGCTTTGACTGTGTATCACTTGAGACTGCGTCTCTTTGCAGATGCCAAAGGTCCACATGGTTAGAAAATCCCCCTGGCATGGCAGTTTTGACTGGAGCCAGCATCAACCGCACCCATACATTGACGCACGAACATCAAGCCTGTAGAGTGCGAAGAGCCCAGATCAAAAGGGTAAAAGTTGCTTGTACGGAGTCGCATACGTATGTACAACAAGAGTGGTGCCACGTAACACTATTAGTGTTTCATTGGTATGACTACAGAGGACAGGAGAAATAATGAAGCTCTGAAAATGTACTGCTATTCCTCTGGTCTGGTTTTTAATGCCTTGACTTTGCAAACGCTTCTTTGGAAAAAATGGAGCTATTCCGACGATAGAAGCACTTCGAAGTATGAGTACCTCTTCAGGTATAACTAAGCTACACTTGCAATGCCTCGACCCAAGATTCCTCTCTGCATTGACGTTTCTTTAGCTGATGGAAGCTCTTGCTAATCTCTTACCTTCAATCGAAGATGCGTTCTGCAGGCTGTCGCATCGTACACATCTAATTTATGTATAGCTATATTTACGGGACATTTTCCCGCCCTGCAGAACCCACGATCGATACCTTCCAAGAGTGCCTGTTGAATTGACGAGTCCATTGGGACCGCATGTCCCGGAAAATACGTCCCCACCGGGAATGCTTTTCGGGTGTTGGTACGGAGTAAACACACATATCGAATAGAGCGGTGCAACACCCCAAGTGAGACTTCTTTCTGTATGTACCCAGATCGAAAACATGAATCTTAAAATAGCAGGTCAAATGATGAAGGTTCTTTGTGGCACTCAAAGCTACCATTGATCCCGACCGTGACGAGGAATCCATGTCTATCAGGGGCTTCCCCCACCCAGCACAGAGAATGCACACTTTCAAGCTTTGCTTCTTTCATCAAGAAATATGTTGGCCAAGGACAAAGAGCTGGCTGAGACACAAAACTTTCTGCATACATATATATGCAGGTAAGTAGGTTATCATCAGAGCTTTCGGGTTGCAGACATGATGTCATCCAATGAGGAATGAGTTGCTATGACTTATCCCCAGAATTTTACTGCTTTTAACGGGGCTGGTAAAGGGTATATCATAGGGATTTACATGTTGGCATGTCCTTTCTGAATCAATTCCGAAGATTTCTACTCTCTGCGCGGGATTACGCAAAATATCTTGTATTGAAAGAGCTAGCGGTCGATGGTATCACAAAGATGGGGGTGATCCCCTCGCCTGCCAGTCCTCCCTTTGTTGTTACACCTTGGCCCAATAACAGGCAAAAAAGGATGCAATATGTTACCAAGATGCACTTTTGGGACCGTATATTTGGACGTCCATTTGTATCGTATAGACCTATGAATGTTCATACCAAACATACAGTGGGACCAATAATGTATCTTGAAGACTTTGCCCGACTCATTTTGTCAGAGATCGAGGAGTCGCTGCATAATCATGTAAGTCAGGTATGTTTGAGGGGTAAATCTATTTTAACTCAGATGCTGTGCTATTGTACTCCACTTTGCCTCTCTTAACCTGCATGGAGTCCTGTGGAGTACAACGGTAACTCTACCGCGTTTTGAAATGTCCAACAAGCGGAATAGACGAAAGACATGAGTGACTCAGCCGTCGGTATATACGTATGTACTATGCAGTGTTCATACTCCGCGTGTGCGGTACATAACCCTCTAGACGGGAAGAGACACCCATACCTTGCAATAACGTGGAATCTATATGGAGTACCTGTTCTTCAGGGCACGCTGCCGAGGCGTGCCTGCGAGAACTCGACCTGGGACGTGATGGGCAACCCCAATAAGAGGGTGATTGTCAATAAGTTTGCTAAATTTTTGAACCGGGTTTGATTTGACCTATAGGTCCCGCACCGTAGAATGTATAGTTAAGTCGAGATCGAAATGATTGATTTGGATTTTGGAAAGCCAATATAAGCCCATGTAGCGAGGGAGGTCGCATTAGTCCTTCGAATCATGCAAAGGAGCAGAAAAGAGATTTTGCCAAGTATATTTCATCCCTAATGGAATCACATTTTATCTCAAATCACCAAGAAATGGATGTGGGCTGGACACTAGGGAAGTGAAGCCAAGGAATAGCATATTACCTTCTTTGGCTCTTTTCGCTTCTCTTTTCTTTCTGCTGAATGAACACTTGCTGCAAGATATCAAACCAATCCTTCTGATCGATCGTTAAGTCTTTCTTAGGATTTCGGAAGATCTGGGAAATGATATCTCGAATCCTGGTGCTCAAGGCTTTGAGCGCCATCATCGACTTCCAATCTTTCACCGAGAATCTAATGCGATTACCGTCTATTGACACCACCCCAGAATACATCTGCAAAATAAAGGAAAAAATAACAAAGAGTGATCAGCTATATCTCAGTGTGAAAGCTAACATAGCGGACCGTTGTAACACATACCTTGAACTCAACATCACCGCAGAGCAACGCAATGGGAAAGTCCTCGACCGCGCTCGTCTCATGCGCGTTGTAGTTCCGATTTCGTGACTGCATTATATGATAATAGGAGAGCCACTTTGTTGAAAGTTCTGCAGTCTTATTTACTGATGTCGTGTGGAGAACCACTGACTGATTGTTTGAAATGTTCCTCCATCCTTTCCCTTGGCGGGTCAAAATCCTAGGGTAGAAACTCCATGCAATAACAGAGTTTACAACCAGGTCATTGCTGCTATTGACATCCAGTCGTTCAGGCACTGTGAAAAACTGGCGTCTGCGTCCAGAAAATCGTGCCCTTTGGCTCACATTAGCATTAGTTTCAGCTAGTGGTAGGTAGGAAATACTAACCTGCTCAAATCAGCTTCTTCGGAAACATCCAGCTTTACCAGGCCTGTATCAACTAGGGAAACTAGCAATTGAGTTTTGACATCTTCTATGTTTAACAGTGCTTGGGGGCTCAAGCAGTTCTTTCGACAGAACGTGAACTCGTTCATTCTTGGTGTCTCACGGCATTTTTTCCACGCACAGTAAGCGTTGTAGACAGACAACAGATCGGAATTCCCTACATTTTTATAAGCACTTACGGAATAGAACCCACGAGGGAAATATGTTCACTCACCTCGATCAAAAGCACGTTTTGCAGCCTGTGTGGCATTGCTCGATGCGGCTGTATGTACAAAAGGGGATTTGCAGGATAAAATGGCCGCGATGCTCACCGTTGAATCTACACATTGAAACAGAGCACCATACAGGATTAACTTGCCTAAGAACACATCCAGTGGCAGTTGAGCGAGTTGCCTGCCTAAGGGTGTCAACACTTCAGTGTTAGTAAGAGCCTTGACTGCTTTGAGTGCCTCTATCGCCCGACGAATATTCTTGGATGATGGAGGATCGAGTGCTTCAGAGAGAGTTTCCTCAATGTCACCGAGATTGCAGATTTTCACTCGAAGGATTAGGTCTTGAAGAGAGAGACGGAGCATTTCAGGGGTTTGTTGATCTGCCATCTGTGATGCAAATTAGACAAGAATACAAAGTTTATTAGGAAAAGACAATGCATACCAGTTTATCGTGGCGATGTTTGGTAAATAAGTGAAAACAGAGGCCTTCTTGAACTCTTCCAGCTCTGCCACGTCGTTGCTTAGCATTGGCACGGGATATAAACGTTTCAACGAGTCTCGATATCTGACGTCGCTCGTCAAACCTTTGAAGGTGTTAGCAAATGCCCTACAATGACAAAGACGCCAACTTACCGCATAACCTTCTCTTTTCCCGTATCTATTACTGCAGTTATATCCGGAATTGTAATCCCTAGGCTCGTTAGAAAGTGGAAGCCACGAAAAAGGTTATCTTCTGCGCTTATCATACCAGTCTCAGCAATATTTGTTGCGATGACAATTTTTCTTGTTCCCTTTTGAGGGACTAAAAATGCCTTTTCCTGCTCCTCACTGGCTATTGAAGAGTGAAGAGAATGCACTATCCAACCGTTTTCAAAAAATGGCTCTGAAAGTATTCCGTCATGCAGCCTGCGTATTTCCGCTAGCCCAGGCATGAAAACCAAGAATGCCTTGCTATATTTCTCTAGCCCGGGTTTAGTCGCTATAGTAAAAATCAAATCTATGATCAGCTTATAATCAAGGCGATATTCGTCAAAAGAACAAACCGCATCGCAGGTTTGTTTGCTATATGCGGACAATGTGGATCGTAGACTCTCGTCAGTTTGAGCCCGTTCAGTGCTGGAGAAATGGCTTTCGTCTGTATAATCTAGCGACTCCTTTTCGTGTGAACAGTGCCTCGTGACCTCGATCGCATCCTCCAGATAATTGGTTTGCACAGCGAATGTCCGACCAGGAATATTCAGGACTGGTGCGCCATCGAGATATGCAGAAAACATCTGCGCATCGACGGTCGCAGACATGAGGACTAATTTAAGGTCTGCTCGTTGATTCAAAAGTCGACGAAGTATAATCAATAAAAAATCGCTATCAAGCGTGCGCTCGTGAACTTCGTCCAAAACCAAATGAGTTATGTCGTTGAAATCATGCGGCCGCTCTAACATCCTGATTACTACTCCCGTTGTCCTAGCCTAAGGAGTCAGCCTGTACAAATGGGCGAAAATGATACCGGGTCACTTACGCATATATCAATCTACTAGATGCCACTACTTTGCTCTCCAGCCTTATTGCGTATCCCACAAGAGATCTAGCTGTTCCAACGGCGTCCCTACCCTCTCCGAGTTCTTCGCTAACTCTTTTTGCGAGTGATATGGCCGAAATCCTTCGTGGTTCGGTCACGTATATCTTGCAATGACGGCCCGCTGTGAGTTCATTTTCGAGGATAAAAGATGGTATTTGCGTGCTCTTGCCACTTCCGGTTTCGCTACAAATGATAAGCGTTTGGTTTGCTGAAATCATTTCTATTATCTGCTCTTTGAATGGCCATATTGGGAGGTTAGTCCGGGTTTTCATCATTTTTGCGAAAAGGTCGGTGGAAGATCGGTCTTTCCATAGGTTTTGGTAGTATTTTGACGGTTGCGAACTTGAAAATTTCGGTTGCAGATTTTCCTCTTGTCTCGCTCTCGCGTTTCCGTTCCGTCGTTTAAAATTTTCGATCAGCACGACATCCTCGTCGGCTTGACTTTTAACTTGTTGAAAAATATCCTGTAAACCCTTAACAACTTCCTTATCGGCAGCCTCCTCGTGTTCCTTTCTGGAGCTAGACAACTCATCCCACACGTCCTTCCACAGCCCAGGTAATTTCATGTACGCTCTATTTTCCCTCGTCGAAGAAGAGAGAATAAATAAGGCAACAACAGAGACGTAGGATTCTGCTTGCAGTGCAGTTGCCGCACTTATGGAATCCATCGAAACCTGTACGAAATGCGGATTCGAGGTGAAATATATGTCGGGGTACGGAATATCCAGAGGTACGTCCTGGGCTTTGGACCAAGTTATCCGAACACTCTTGCGGTGGGAATAAGACGTAGAATCCAAGTCCCTATAAACTATTTTGAAACCCGGGTCTCTAGATCACCATCAGCGTATTAGTATCAAAATTCAACAATTAAAGGCCCGGCATCCAAACCTCGTTCTGCACGCTTCTTCCAAAACGCGACGGGGATTGATCCCAACCGATTTACCAAAATCTCTGAGCTTAGTTGCCACACGCCCGTCGGTGAAGGCATTCGCAGCCGTTCCTATAGGGGAATCGGACTCAATCGCGAACATGCTTCCTAGGATGTTTTCGTCGTCGTCGCTATCGACTAAGTTCGGCTGCCCACCGGTATCGGTTGGTGGGCCCTTCCCATCTCTTCCTGATGCCATTTCCAGGCTAGGTTCTGTAGGTTTTAGTCGTCCACGTAACGACTCAGCGGTATCAGCACGCAATTCACAGAGCCTTTCTTTCCATTCAGCCTCAGCTTTTTCGGAATCAAATAAGATATCCCTTTCGACCACAGCAAGTTTAGTCTTTATTTTTTCTATCTGGGAATCAATTGCAGGGTCCACTACGCTCACAGCAGCCTTTTTGGACCTTGTCTTGGGATGATTGAAAAAACTTGGTTGAAGGGAATAGATACGTGATCGGAGTTCTAGATAACGCGGGATCAATGCGTCTGGATCCAGATCAATATCGGACATGTCAGGGTCTGAGTCCAACGAAGGGCTTGGGTGCGTAGGGCTTTTTGGCTTCGTTGATATATTGTTAACAGGAGTGATTGTCCCAGAGTTTGGAGGTGTTGCTTCTATTTCATCTATTAAATTGTTAGCGCCACATTTGGTTTATGGGTTAAGTTCTGAATGCATCCACAGAGCACACCTTTTTGATCGTCCGGCTTTGCTGGGGGTTTCTGCTGCCCGTATATCGGTAGCTCATCTTCGGAGGAGTGCGATGCCAGCCATTCAAGGACCGGGCCTATACTCGACGTGAAATCCTTGTTTGAGGCTTGATCCTGGGAAGAGTGTAAGAGAATTCCTCTCAACGCTTTATCCACCATGGACTTGGAAAACCCAAGTTTAAGCAGGGTCTCCTTGAGTGTCCACATGTTCATACATAGTTCTTCTTCATTTGCCATGAAATCAGCATTTTCGTCAAACCTACTAAAATAGGACGGTAATTTTTCAATTTCTTTGATTTCTTTTTCAATGATCAGGTTGCAGATATCCGGGCTTAACCAATCTCGAGTATTAATGGTCATCCCTTGAGCACGCAGAGTGCGGCGCTCTGTTTCGAGTCTTCCAGCTTGACGAGAAGCCTCGTTTTTGCATTTTCCTGCATACTTGTCTAACAGACTCTGTAGTTCAGCCTCTTCGAGATGTTTCTCGAGCTCCTCTGGCGGCAGGTTTTCCAAAGAATCCTTGGATTTCTCTGGTTGTCCTGCAGTGGCTGGTTTCTGCTCTTCTTTGGTAACAGATGGTTGTTCTGCCTTTGTTAACACTCCAGAGTTTATGACTTGTGATTTAGATGGGATTGAAGTAGTTGTGAATCCTCTTGCTGGGTTGGAAGCAGGCTTCTTCTTCTTGCGACCTGGTGCCATAGCCAAATCTGGCGTGATAGAGTCTATATAGTTTCAAGGAGGCAGGTGAGCTGGCAGAACAAAAAATAAATGACTAAAGGAAAGATTTAAGAAGCTATATGACTGCTGACCGTATGCAAAATAGAAAAAATATTAATGCCTTTATGGCTAGTGATGTCTTATCAAGAACAATCAACTAGGCTTGAGAGTTGAGAGAAGTCTAAAAGTGGGTGCGGAAGATCCACCAGTCTTTGTCACCAAAGTTTCAAGCCACCACAGGGCAAGCACACAACATCAAACCCCACTACTTTCATGCTATAGCATGGAGATGCAAGCATGGATGAAATCAAGTGGAACAATGTGCATGATGGCATGCTAGAGTCATTGAAACCGGTTATTTTTTCTGGTTCAACATCTCGGCGTCGTGCTGGCCTTCATGAACTTCATGAGAAAATCCTATGTAAGTCAGCGACTTTTGGTTAGCCTTGCTCAGCATTTGACTGATTGCTCCTGGAAGCACACGAGTTGCCAAAGGAACTAGATAGGCCTCTCCTAGATTTGCTTTTCGGAACATATCCTATTTACGTTGATCGAGATTCTCGCCGAGATGCGCAGCGATGTATTCGCGATATATTTCAAGCTCCGATAGCGTCCGTTGATCTCAAAGATTTCGCGAATAAGCTCCACAAGGAATGTTATAAGCCAGCAATTGCTGCTGCCAATGCCTTCGTCTTGATCGAGTGGTGCACATTGCTTTTGCAGCACCTAAGCCAACGCGAAGCAGAAAACCCTGAAGATGCACCCCAGCTGGCAGTGAACGTTCTATCTGCAAATTCAAAAGCACTGGAAACGTGTCTTCGGTCATCTAAAAAGGAGGGTCTAAAACACTCTGCTATCATAGTGTCTAGACGCGCTTTGCGAACCGTTCTATCAAAGGAGGAAACCGGCGATGAAGTGGTGCGGCGACTTGTTCGTGTGCTTACCAGCGAGACGGGTTCAGGATTTAGAAACGCTCCCTACCTCGGAGTTCTATCTGGAGTTTGCGCGCGACTTCCCAAAAGAAGAGCGGTTTTAGACGATGTGAAGCCTGCCATTTTTCAATTCTATATCAAAGATATCATTGGGTCTCGAACAGTGGTTCCTAGCCACATCGCTGGAAGTTTAGGCGACTTTTTCATCTCATTTGCCTCCGCGGAGGATCTCCAAAAAGAAATCTGGCCATCACTTGAAAAGGCTATGCTTAGGAGCCCTGAAGTGGTTTTCACCGGCATTATTCCCTCTTTTGTGGCTGCAATTCCACGCGAGATTGAACTGTCCGAAGTGGTTTCCACACGACTTAGTAAACCCCTTCTTTCGAGCTTTAAGTCCGCCAGTCAAACAGTCCGGCAAGGGGCAGTCAAAGCTTTCGAGGCTTTGATTGCTAAATGCAAGGAAGAACAGTGGCTTCTGAAAATCATCGATGAAGTCATTCTCCCTTTGAAAACCTCAAGAATTACAAATGTTGAACATCGCGCGCTCCAGGTACAAGTTCTCAGCATCTTTCATTGTTTTCCAGAGCTGTCCCACAGGGTACTGTCGGGCCTTTCGCCTGCCCTTGCACGTGAGAGTAATGAGGCCGCACTCGAGTCAGAAGTACAGGCGTTTTGTCACCACCTGGCATATCTGATCCGTTCTCAATCCACGATTAGCAAGGAAGATTTCTCTGTTGTGGCCAAAGGCTGCGCTGAGAAACGAAGTGCTTTTCGCAAAATTTGGATTTCTAATGTTGGAGAGGTCATATGGAATCTTGACCGTGATTCCTTGTTCTCTTCATCGAGTGTGAAGACCAATTTCCTGAAACCGGTGGTGGAAAAAATTTCAAGTTCATTTGACGAGATAAACGCCAACCCCCTACCTGCAGTTCAAGGTGGAACTATTTCAATAGCCTATGTTCTTCTGGCCCTCTCATGTCAGAATCTTCAAGGAGGAAAGCTAGACGATGGCAGTTTACTCCTTAATACTGATGTCATTGTCGGCCAATCTCTATCATTATCTCTGAAACAATCTTTCTTACTCAATCCCAGGATCTTCACAAAATTGGCCTCAAAAGACGAGCTTGCATGGAATATTCGCGCGTTATCCGGAGTTTCATCAGAGGCTGCCTTTCAAGCCGTAGACCCAACAGTGAGAGATACTTGGGCACAAGCTTTTATTTATGTAATTTCCTCCGCAGCTACACCTGAGAATTTGCGAGAATCTGCGATTTCCCATCTTCGCAACTGTTATCTCAAGAATCCGCAAGTGGTCGGAATGGCCATCATCAGCGCGATGTGGAAGTGGTTGCTCGCCGTTAATACAGGAGATAAGGATTCTGCTGCTCTCAGTGCAGGGACAGGCGGTGATAAACTCCTCCTTGTTGTCAGAGCTATCACTCCCAGTCCCAATGTTGTGGATTCCCTGGTCCTCGATCGTCAATTAATTGAACTCCTGGTGCTATGCCGCCCAGAACTCATCCCCAGAGCTAATTGGATAGAGATTACGCTGAGAGCTGGTGCGGATCCCGGCAAAATTGCCCAAAGCTATCCAAAAGAATGCATAGCACAGGTGCTTCTCGCTACAGAAGTGAGTCGTAGATTTTGGTATTTCAGCCACGCATCGACCTTGCTAACACGATGTTTAATGCAGGACCCAATTCGATCTAAACTATCCAAAGGAAGGACGGCGGCGTGGAATGCTGCTGCTGACCTTGCTTTCGTGGCGCCCGATGTCATGATGCCTATACTTGTGAAACAAATTCAAGAGGATCTCAACATAGACAGGATTACGAGATTTGGGCCCACTGACATTGCAATTGCGCGACATTCGGGAGAAACGCCCTTCATAGACGTCCTCAGTACCAAGACTAAAAGATTACCTGGCAAAGGAGACAAGGATTACGACACTCTTAAATGGGAAGCAGAACTTCGAGCCGAAATGGCTCAGAAACGTGGTCAACACCAGAAGAAGCTAACACCAGAAGAGCAAGTTAAGGTCAAAGCGCAGTTATTAAAGGAAGCAGAAATTCGAAAAAGTATCCAAATTCAGGAGCAAATAATTAGGAGAGGAGCCGGCATCGTCGAAAGTCTCGCTAGAGGGCCCGCCACTGAAGCTGAAGAATGGATAAACCAAGCGGTTAACTGTCTATGTCGGCTTGTCGAAGTTGACGCGGGCGCTTTAGTCGGCAGTAGTATCTCCGAAGCCTATGTTGCGTGTACCAGCCGAATATCCAGTCGCCTGGAAGAAATTAGGCCGTTTATTGGAATTGCTACCCTTCGGTCTCTGGGCAAAACTTACATGCCTTCTGACCTTGAAGTAGAGCCACTAGGAAGTACGTGTTATTTATGCTAAAGTATGTAGGGGAAAGAAGTCTCTAACTTTCTATGTGCAGCCCTCGTGACTCGAATTCTTTATCGCATCCGACTCGCTTCGGAGCAGCGACCATTCGATGTTGTTTCGTTCGGAATTATGCTTCGGCTAATAATTGTCGTTCTTGAAAAGGATGGCGTTAAGGAGGCCGCAGAAAGCCGAGGGGAACAGATCCTTCTGGCGCTTGAATTTCTCACAATTCACGCAAATCTATGTATTAAGCCTTGGCCTAACGACTATTTGCCATTGCTAACGACTTATCTTAGTTTCCGACAGCAGATTGCCGAGAACTGAAGTCCTACGAACATTGATATCTGCGATGCGAATTCATGCGGAGCATTATAAGTTAATGCGAGATCTTCTGATTGATATTTGCCGTTCTGTAACAGACAATGTCCAACCGGATGAACTCACGATCCTACTTCAAGGAGTGATAGTTCCAGAAACATCAGTTCGGACTGCGGTTCTCCAAGCCATCGAGGCTGAGATTGACCTCACTGATCTTGACTTCTCTGAGTACATCTGGCTCGGATGCCATGATCATGTTTCTGAAAATGCGGAAATATCCAAGGCTATATGGGAAGAGAACGGCCTCGAAGTTGATGCGAACTCGCCCGATTTTATTATGGAGTATCTCGGTACGGCCGATTCGCAACTGCGGGGTGCAGCAGCAGTGGCTCTCGCGCATGCTTGCAAGTTCAGCCCTTCTGTATTTACGACTACTTTGGAGAAGCTTGAGACCAAATACCAGGATGAAATTAAACCAAGGGCTCCAGAAACGGACGCATACGGTATGCCCAAGAAGGTAGATACTCCGGACAATTGGCAGCTTCGAAGCGGAATAGCTTTGGCTCTTAAATCTATGGCCCAGGGTTTTCATGGAGATCAAATCGTTGGTTTCTTACAATTTTTAATCAGCGATGGCCCACTTGTTGATCAAAATGTGTCAGTCCGACGGCAAATGGCAGAAAGTGGGAGTGCGGTCATAGCTTTGCATGGACAAGATAACGTCGAGGAACTAATGCATCTATTCGAGAAGACATTAGAGACGTCCGACAAAGCGACTGAACAATCAGATTGGCTTAACGAGGCCGTTATAATTCTATACGGCTCCCTCGCGCGCCATCTCAAGAGTGGGGATAAGCGGTTGCAGACGGTCATTAAGAAACTCCTTGCTGCCCTTTCCACTCCGTCTGAAAGTGTTCAGTATGCTGTTTCGGAGTGCCTGACACCCCTCATTCGGCTCTCTCCTATAGAGACGTCTGTCTATATAGACGAATTGGTGGATCAGCTTTTGCACTCGAAAAGATACGCTACAAGACGCGGGGCTGCGTATGGTTTGGCAGGTATTGTGCATGGAAGAGGCATATCTGCTTTGCGTGAATTCCGTATCATGCCACGGCTCAAGGAGGCATCCGAAAATAAGAAAGATCCAAATGAGAGACAAGGGTCACTCCTTGCTTTCGAGCTCCTTTCACTAGTCCTCGGCCGAATGTTTGAGCCTTATATCATTCAAATACTACCCCAATTACTAACTGCTTTCGGCGACCCCAGTGTTGATGTTCGTGATGCATGTTTAGATACTGCCAAAGCGTGCTTCGCTAGCCTAAGCTCTTATGGTGTGAAACAAATTTTACCGACTCTTCTCGAAGGCTTGGATGATCCACAGTGGAGGAGTAAGAAGGGCGCCTGCGACCTTCTAGGAGCTATGGCTTATCTCGATCCTCAGCAACTTGCTGTCAGCCTTCCCGACATCATCCCTCCTCTCACCGTCGTCCTCAATGACAGTCATAAGGAGGTTCGCAATTCCGCGAATAGGAGTCTTCAACGTTTTGGAGACGTCATAAGCAATCCTGAAGTAAAAGGTCTTGTTAATATTTTACTAAAGGCCCTTAGCGACCCCACGAAGTATACAGACGAGGCTCTGGATGCTCTGATTAAAATATCATTTATTCACTACCTAGATGCGCCTTCGCTGGCACTCATTGTGAGAATCCTCGAAAGAGGACTTGGTGATCGATCTACAACAAAACGGAAAGCTGCTCAGATCATCGGCAGTCTGGCTCATCTAACCGAACGCAAAGACCTTACCTCGCATCTCCCGATCCTTGTTGCCGGCCTCAAAATCGCAATCGTCGATCCTGTGCCTACTACTCGTGCAACAGCTTCGAAGGCTCTTGGTTCTCTCATTGAGAAACTAGGAGAGGAAGCATTGCCGGACTTGATCCCAAGCTTAATGACTACTCTCAAATCAGATACCGGAGCGGGAGATCGGCTGGGCTCTGCTCAGGCCCTCTCCGAAGTTCTTGCCGGGCTGGGGACATCTCGACTCGAAGAAACCTTGCCATCAATCTTACAAAACGTATCAAGTGCCAAGTCTGCAGTTCGAGAAGGATTCATGTCTTTGTTTATCTTTCTTCCTGCTTGCTTCGGGAATAGCTTTGCTTCATACCTCAACAGAATCATTCCTCCCATATTATCCGGTTTGGCGGATGATGTGGAGGCAATACGAGAGACTTCCCTTCGGGCCGGTCGCTTGTTAGTTAAGAATTTTGCTACTAAATCGATCGATCTCCTGTTGCCTGAGCTTGAACGAGGCCTTGCAGATGATAGCCACCGTATTCGACTTAGCTCTGTTGAATTAGTAGGAGACCTCTTGTTCAACCTCACCGGCATTAATACCAAGGCAGATATAGAAGAAGAGGATGATACCGCCGCTCAAGCTGGCCAATCTTTGCTTGAGGTGCTTGGTGAAGATAAGCGGAATAAGGTCTTGTCTGCACTTTACATATGTCGCTGTGATACCTCAGGGCTTGTTCGAAGTGCTGCAATAAATGTATGGAAGGCTTTGGTTGCCAGCCCTCGAACTCTCAAAGAACTGGTGCCGACATTGACCCAACTCATCATCCGTCGCTTGGGGAGCGCAAATATGGAACAAAAGGTTATTGCTGGAAATGCATTGGGCGAATTGATCAAGAAAGCGGGCGAAGGCGTTCTCTCAACCCTGTTGCCATCACTTGAAGAAGGGCTCCTGGCGTCCACTGAGGTTGACGCAAGGCAGGGAATCTGTATCGCTCTCCGTGAGCTCGTCATCTCCTCTTCTGGGGAATCTCTCGAGGTGTATGAGAAGATTCTTATTTCTACTGTTCGGACAGCGTTGCTTGATTCAAATCAAGATGTCCGCGAAGCAGCCGCAGAGGCTTTCGATGCGCTTCAGCAGGCCCTAGGAAAGCGTATTGTTGATCGCGTATTGCCGGATCTTCTTAATTTGTTGCACACAGACGCAGAGGCAGATCGGGCTCTCGCTGCTCTTCTTACGCTCCTGACTGAAACTACGCGCGCGAACATAATTCTTCCTAATCTTATTCCGAGTCTTCTTGCTAGTCCCATGACGAGCTTCAACGCAAAGGCACTAGCATCGCTGGCTGAAGTCACCGGTGGCGCGCTCACTCGAAGGCTTCCAAATATTCTCAACACCCTCATAGACAATTCTCTTTCGACAAAGAACGAAAAGCTCCGGCCCGAGATTAACAGCGCCTTTGACACAGTCCTTAATTCAGTCGATGAGTGTGATGGATTGAATGCGGCGATGAATGTCATGATTACACTCATGAAACACGAAGACCACCACAAGCGTGCAGCTGCCGCAAACCGCTTGTCATCGTTCTTCGGGAAAACAACTCTCGACATATCTCGTTATTACCCTGAGTTAGTTCGGGTATGCCTTATATCGTTTGATGACTATGATACGAATGTGGTGGCCGCAGCCTGGGAAGCTCTTAGCCAATTAACGTCACATATGCGGAAAGAAGAAATGGAAGTATTGGTGATTCCAACGAGACAAGTCCTCCGGCAGGTCGGCGTTGCAGGTGCCAATCTTCCAGGATTTTGTAGGCCCAAGGGAATCAGCGCAGTCTTCCCCATTTTCCTTCAGGGTTTGCTGAATGGAACTGTTGAGCAACGGGTGCAGTCCGCTTTAGCTATCGGAGATATCATAGATAGGACCAGCACCGAAGCTCTAAAACCGTTTGTGACACAGATCACTGGTCCATTGATCAGAGTGGTTTCAGAACGTTCAGTTGAGATCAAATGTATGGTCCCACTGCCCATATGTGATGAACTACAAATCTAATCGCTAAACATAGGCGCGGTCTTTTTGGCTATCAACAAGTTGCTGGAGAAAATTCCACTCTTCATCAAACCATTCCTCCCTCAGTTGCAAAGAATTTTTGCTCGAGGCCTGGCAGACTCTAGCAGCGAGACATTGCGGTCAAGAGCGGCTAAAGGGTTGGGAATTCTTATCACTTTGACGCCTAGGGTCGATCCCCTTATTTCAGGTAAGAAAGCTTGTAATCTGCTCAATATCACAAAGTCTAACATCTTTATAGAACTGGTCGCTGGTTCCAAAACGTCGGACTCTGGTGTGAAGAGTGCTATGCTCCGCGCCTTGCATGAGGTGGTCGCTAAGGCTGGCAAAAATATGAGCGACGCATCCAAACAAGCCATCCTTGAGCTCATTGATGATGAATCGGCTGATCGTGATGGTATGCCTTACCTCAGTTCCATAAAAATGGTGTAGCTAACTCAGTGCAGAGGCAACGAACATCGCCAATGCCCAGCTCGTCGGAGCCCTTATCAAGTCACTTCCAGAGGCTACGGCCGTGCCACTGATTAAGTATGTTCTCTCTAGTACAATTGTTGGATATTGGTGCTAATAATTGGACAGGAACCGCGTTCTCACATCTCACTACACACACCTCTCTGTCCTCGCACTTAATTCTATTTTGGCTGAATCCCCGAGGTCTATAACTGACACATTTCCCGATGAAACCCTATCGACTATATGCGAAGGTATCAAGCATAAGGATGTAAGTGCATGCTTTCTCTCCACGGAGTTGTTTAGAATATTAACTTTGATAATAGGTGTTTATTGCCGACAACAGTGTCCTGGCTGCCGGCAAGTATTTATTAACAACAGATATTGATCGGGATGCCGAAACAGATAGAGTTGTGCTTGAGGCTTTGACATCAGTGATACCACCCGGCAACCCGGCTGATACGCGTCGTGTGGCTTTAGTAGTGCTTCGCACAGTCAGCCGCTTAGAGCCCGGTCTTGTTGGACCACACCTTTCTCTACTCATACCACCCGTATTCTCTAGCGTCAGGGACCTAGTCATCCCCATCAAGCTTGGTGCTGAGGCAACATTCCTCGCCTTACTGCAGGTGGTGGATGCCGGAAGCGTCATTTTTGATACATACCTCCAGGGACCGGGGGCGGGCCTCCCAATGACAACAAAGCGAAGCATGCAAGACTATTTTAAGCGCGTTGCTCTGCGTCTTGCAACCCAAGCTCGCGAACGAAGGGATGCAGAAGGCGGTGCTGGAGGCCTCGACTTAGCGAGCGACGAGGCTGACGATGAAAAGGAGCTTTGGAGCGTGGGAAAGGTGGATCTGGGCGATTTCTCTGAGGATTAAGGCAGCTACCTAAGATGTGGCTCAGATGGTAGCTATTAGTATCTAAAAACAATCTGTACACAATCCCTCGTGCTATTTTGCTCCATCCCAACGGACCTTGTCCTCGCCTTGAGGATTGGCGGTAGTTTAGATTTCCTGTTTGGGTAAAGTCGCGCGAAGCCCTAAGTTGTGGAATTTCGTCTCGCTTAGCACATAGTCGCTTAGTAATCGCCTATGACAAACCTTGTTCCACCCACATCCTCACGCACTGCTGTCGACGTCGAGATTCGAACAACCATCCATCGACAAACTCGGCTATCGAATTCAACGGCATCAAGATGTAAGTTAATTATTGTCCCTGCGATAATACCACACCACTCGTCTGCATATTTTACGTGTCCCCCGATGTACCCGAAGTTTTTGGCGTCAACATGAAATTTGAAAGGGATTAGAGCACTACGCAAGGCGAAATTCACGAGTTTTGGCTGACGTTTTGATCTCGTTTTCTGCCAAATAGGGTCAACCTTCGCACTCAGAAGCGCCTGGCCGCTGCTGTTGTCGGCTGCGGCCAGCGCAAGATCTGGCTTGATCCCAACGAAGTCAACGAGATCTCCACCGCCAACTCCCGCCAGACCATCCGGAAACTCATCAGCGATGGCCTGATTATCCACAAACCAGTCACGATGCACTCGCGTGCGAGAGCTCGTGAGCTCGCAGAGGCCCGCAAGATCGGTAGACACCGAGGCTTCGGTAAGCGAAAGGGTACAAAAGATGCTAGAATGCCCAGGTACGTTGCGATCTACCTGATATTCGCCGCATCGCGATGATGTAGCAGCAAGCTCGATGGAGTCCCTTGGTCGGTTGTTGTTACCTTTCTCTATTAACACAATATGTTTCGTTACAGCCAAGTCCTTTGGATGCGCCGGCTGCGTGTCCTTCGCCGTCTCCTCGCCAAGTACCGTGCCTCCGGCAAGATTGACAAGCACCTTTACCACGAGCTGTACCATCTGAGCAAGGGTAACACCTTCAAGCACAAGCGTGCCCTCGTCGAACACGTACGTCCTATAATTCCATTTGACCAAAGTCTACACTATCGCAAAGTTTATGCATCCTTTTCCATTTATACTCTTCTCGCCCCCCCCCGCTTCACCCAAGAAATCGCTTTGGAAATGAATGAACATGCTAATAAATATCTCTATAGATTCACAAGGCCAAAGCCGAGAAACAACGTGAGCGTATGCTTAAGGAAGAGATGGACGCCAAACGTGCCAAGACCAAGGCTGCCCGCGAGCGACGACAAGAGCGTATCGCCGCCAAGAGAAACGCTCTTGCTGGAGAGACTGAGGAGGCCTAATAAATTCATTGTCTTTGATTTAATTTTTCCTTATCAAACATTATGGGTCAATGGCAAGGTTTTTATTTTGATGATTACACAAAAACGAAACATATTATGCATGAAGCATCTGTCTTTTTTTTTTTTTCCATCCATCTCCAGCCATTTTGTCCATCACCCCCCTTATATTTTATTTTTAAGCCGCTTTTCACTTTTGTGCCATATCCCATTCGTATGTGCTATTCCCTCTACACCCATATTCTAGGATATGGCACAAAAGTGAAAAGCGGCTTAGGGGAAAATACCGATAAGGAATTATGAATGAAAAGACTTTGAAATCAATTCTTGCTTTGTTCCTGCCGTTCTTTGCGCTGTGGCGAGTATGGTGATAGGGTTCAAGCCATATGGTTTTGCCCGTCTCGCCTTTCCATTTGGTCCCATGATTGGGATCGCTGGCTGGACTAATTATCACACGAGTCTCCCTGCTCACGGAGCCGTAAGACGGCCAATGGGATAGAAGCGGGGAGGAAGCATCATGGCAGTGTAGACTAAGTGTTTCGATGTGGAATGAAGAGACAGGTTCTGAGCCCGAAGTGTCGTCAATCATGGTACAGTAACTTTGTGCAAGCCATTGCCTCATCCCGACCCGAGCCTTATCGCTAGTCTCTCTTCGCTGGCGTAGGTGATGTTTAAATACTATCTCAAGACGAAAGGCAACAAATCTATATTGAAGTTGGCCTGATTGTAGGAAAGTAAATAATGAATAGTAGTAGAAAATATTCTGACTATATTTCTAGTCAGTATAGAAAAGTAGCTAGAATATATTTTTTTTTTCTTGTCAGCAAATCTAGGAAAATTACATCAAATTTTGAAAGAGAATTGGTGTTACATGAAGGATATAGTTCGAACACGTTGGACAATCAGAAACGGTCTTCAATTTTGATAGGCATATACATTTTCGGGTATCAAAGTGGCAATATTTCGTAATCTCACAATCCCACACATCTCATCATATAGAGTCCCATCCCCAGCGAGATCAGGTATTGGCCGAATATGATCACACAGATCACTTCCTCGATCTGCGGTCAATTCGACCAGTGTGACGCGCGTTTTTTCCCATCGGGATAGCACCGATATTGTGATCTGTAGTGAAGTCTTGGAGGAAAGAATATTGCTCGCACCCTGACCACGAAGTATAATAACACTACTGCTGCAACTCCGCGTGTGTCTAGGATTGTAGCGTGGCGGACTATAAGCAGGACTTTCCAATCCGAACCATCAGGACGATCAAGCGTACCATTTAATACAGATCTATTAATTCTGGGGAGGTAGCCGGAAGAGGATTGGCGAGACTCGGAGGAAGAGGCTTTGAGAAGCTCAGGGAACGCAGTATCAGGGAGGGTGCTACGTGCTTATCTGCGGCGGAGAACTTGGTTAGTTACATTGATCCTGTCAATGGTGCCAAGTACAGAAATGGTGGCAGCGTTCCATGTTCCTCAAAACGGTGCGTAGAGCTTTTCTATGCCATCGAGTTGACTAGGCGCCGATTTTCCCTATGAACCCGCGTGCCGTCGCTCAACAAGGCGCCTGGCAGCTCAACCACTCTGGATCTTAAATAACTTTTTCTTGATGGGAATGAACTCGAATTAAGACCAAAGAGGAGCTCTATCGATGCCTTGTTGCGGGATAATCACTGGTTGTAAATTTTCGGTACATTGTGCATTGAAAATAAGCTCTTCCTCTTTTTTTTTTGTTTTTTTTTTGGCTTTATCCAACTAAGTAAAGTTGGGCCAAGTTGGGGTTCGCAGGCAATCTCGTAAAGATTTCCCAGATACGTCCCCAATGTGGTAGTGTCTACCACTGCTGAAACCTGATTTGCAACTCTATTCTGTTGAGAGAGGATACACAATCCTGGGACAAGAGAGCCCAAAGCGAAAGCTCCAACTGCTACGACAACTCTTAGTGCTAAGCGTTGATTAAATTCTTGCTTTGCAGGAATACTTCTAGCCTCCTGGCGCGGAGAGGAATTGCAAATGAACGCAGGGATAGTCATGGCAGGCACGAAACGGATTTAGTAGACCAAGTGAGAGGCCGTAGATAGTGACGACACAAGTTGTCATATCCCAAAGGATAAGAAATTTTCCGTGGGCCTGGCAGTAAATAAGTAATTCTTGCCTTCCAGGGAGGTCCAGAGATCTTGGGCTCAGAACAAAGGCTCATCGGGTATATTACCAGGGAGATAAAAGTCTGAGATGCTGAAAATCCCAGCGCGGAAGAGAAGCCGTTAAGTGTGAGCATCACGGAGTCATATAAATATCTTATAACGAAAGTTGATGCCCATTGGGATGATGAATGACACGGACAGGCGCAGATCAGCTCCCCCGGGTCTGAAGGGTGAAACACTGGCATCAATGGATGATTCCAGCGTGGTTTTTGCCAAGTAGACCATGCAAAAAAAAAAGCTAGAAAGATGCAATGGCCGTTGGAATAATTCTAACTGGCTCAGGGCCGGATGCAGGAAACATAGGGATCCCTCCCCAAAGTCCAGCTGATGGTCTCGCGGATCAGAAAGTATCTTTATGACGAAAATTTCAGAGGAAAAAAAGGAAAGAAAGGAAGTGAGGAGGGTTGAGGGAGTTAACTCCCACAAAAGAAGTATACAGTTACCCGCACGGCAGCGCGAAATCCGCATAGGTTTTGAATGTGGGCGCGATGATCCCAAAAAAAAAAAAAAAAAAAAAAAAAAAAAAAAAAAAAAAAGGTATCACGGGGGGGAGACCCATCACTAGCTTCCGAAGTGAAAGACCTTCGAGCTTCATATCACCACCCAACAATCATCGAATAACATTCTGGGAAGATTGGGAGCTGAAGAGAGGTTTGCGGCTGCGTTGATTTTCCGGGTCACTGCACTGAATGCTGGCAAACGCCATACTCCGTATATGTACTCCGTACGGAGTAGTTAAATTGTAAGGATGCAGGAAAAGAGCACACGGCGTAGTCAGGCCAAACGCCAGGACGGTTCCGGAAACAGGATGGACTGTCGACCTGTCCGCCACGGGTTTCCCGCCGGCGATACTGGCGTGGCCCGCATCAAACGGCGGATAACCTGGCATTAGTTATGGAGTTAAGCGTGTAGTTAATACCATGATCTGCTGGTGGGTGGGTGTGCGAGGGCTAAATTCTATTCCGCTCGTGAGCACGGCCATCTCACTGACACATGCCAGGAGGCTTCACGTCGTCGCAGCCGTGCCGCTGTTTGCTGGAGGCGCTGAGGCGACGTTCGAAGCGACGAAGTCGATACATACGGCGCAGCACAGCAGCCGGTATGGCACCGGCAAGTAGCTTGCCGGAAGCGGAAAGTGGGTTTGGTTTCTGGCTAGCCTATTCCGGCAAGGCGCGGGGCGGAGTTTCCGGTCCGGATTTAGTCAGCTGGCGCTAGCGCGGTAACTAGTTAGCTTCCCCACGATTACCAATATTTCCAATGATACGCAGCCTGACTGGACAATGGCGGTCGCCAGGACTGTCCAACGGTTCGCTGGCCGTTGTAATTTTACAGCAAGCCCAAGGCGTCACGGCGTCACGGCGGCGCAGCGGGCGAGTTGGTGAGCTCTCCGCTCAATCGACAGCTCATCCGCCATCTGGGAGACTGTGAATGGCCCGGGCTTCGCACAATTCTCGACTGTCAGGTTCACGATCTCGCTCCCATCTCGCTCCCTCCCGTTGACCAAGCTACCTGGGAAGCTCTATCAAACCCTCTTCTTCCCGTAAAGTTTGTGGAGCAACCCATAACCTGTTCCGTTCTCGCCCATCCTTGTATCTTAACACGCATCCCACACACCAGCTCCCTTCATCTTGAGAAGCTGTCGGGCCGTCAGTTGGACTCATCCTCTCCCCTCCCTCTGCTCTCTCCCTGCGGCACCGTCTTTCAGGCCCAGGATCACGCCCTTTCTACCGCATTGAACCCACGTTACGCCCAGTGTTTGGTTCTCGCTCCCTTTTCCCATACTCCAGCTTCAGGTGAAACGCTGTTTTGAATATAGCCCCGCCGAATACCAAATCTGGCTTTGGGTTGCTAAGGTATCCGCCTTGGATCTCAACCGAAATTCTAATACCTGCCCGTAACGAGCTCTGTCGTCTGGGAGCTGTGTGTCGATCTATTTCTGTGCAAGTCTTGTGGTGTCTTGTTCCCCCGCAGGTTCTCGCGGGGTTAGGTTCTCTCTCGCAACCGCCATCATGTTTGCATGGGGAGGTGGCATTGGTAAGCCGAACCCTTTCAGTCCAACTCGCGAGATCGCTGGCCCTTGTCAATGCTCTCCGAGGTGCAAATTGCTGCCCATACCCTCATGTCAACCTCTCTACTCCCCGCTATGTGACTCGCTTTGTGCAAAGGTAGTGGCTGCTTCGCCACGCCTAATCGTGTCTTGGCGCCCGCCCATCAAAGTTAGGTTCAGCCTTTTCCCGTGGTTTGGTCTGAAGTCATCGCAATCACTGTTTGCTTTGCTCAAAACAACACCTGCATACATCCCGTTTATCTTGGGCAGTTTCTCGATCAACCATCCAATGACAAAAGCTCCCTTTTTGCTTGATTCAAAATGCGGCTGACTGACTGGCGAATTAGCGGTTCCGACCCTTACTGTCGACACTGAAAAGGAACGAGCTCCTCCTCCTCCTGCCACTCCGCTTGATTTCCCATCCTACGTTCCAGATCTCGAGTCTTGGCCTGAAGACGGACCGACATGTGACAAGCTTCACCAGTTGCTATCCCGACTCAAGAAGCCACAAGACATATCAGCCGAATTCCTCCAGGCCTTGAATCTCAAAGTTGAACCAGACGTTGCTCCTGCCGATCTGATCGCCGGAGACACCCTCAAGTCTCTACCTCCGTTCCAATGGCCGGAGAAATCCGAGCAGTCCGAGACCTCGGCAAGCACCCCTGCTGCCGCCGCCAAAAAGCTAATGAGCAATGGCTTCCCCTTTCCCGACAAAGAAAAGTACGACTTGCTACGAGAAGAACTGCTCTTTGACAACGACGATGCTTTTCGAACGCTCTCTCGGCTATCTCCCTTGCCAGGGCGCCAGAAAATACGTCTCACTCATTCTCGCAAGTTTTGGACTGGTTTAGAACACATATCTCAGTACTGGGATACAAGCTTAGACCAATACATTGAGCGTTCAGAGCCTGAGCCCGAGCCCGGGCCCGCCAACGTTGCGGAGACATCCCACGACCAGACTCCAATGAAAGACGATGTGCCTAAAACCCCACCCGGGGATAAAATGGACATTGATAGTGGTAATGTGGATAAAGACGTGGACATGACAAAGTCCGAATCCCAGACAACGTATAAGGGGCGACGTATCGGTACCGGGAAAGATATGCCAGAGTCCATGAGGGAGGACACAATGCGCGGTTTTCTCGAAATGATCGCGTGGTCATTTGGGTGCCAACCTTCGGTGCCAGTCCTACCGCCACGTCTCTTCGTAAAAGGTCTACTCTTTCCGGTACGCCAGAATTTTACGATATCACGTGCCCCCCAGGATAGACAGATTGCAAGAAAAGGCATCCTTGAAGGCCCAATATTGTTTGCCCAGTGTCGCGGTGATACAGAGTTTCATGGCCCGAATGGTAATCCCCAAAGCAGATACGCTGAGATCTGTGACCTTCTTCGGGAAACTGCGGCAATGCTTCTGCTCGCACAAGAGAGAAGCAGAGAGGGAAATACGGAAACTAAGCCTGGAGATGGGAAGTGGTGGGCAACAGAGCCCAGATGGGGTGGTGCCCCAAATGATGGGCCTGTTGGAGACCCAGAAAATAATCAATCGGAAGATAAGGAAAAAGGTTCCGCTCCGGATGCAGACGCGGAGAAAAACGACAACAAACGGCCTAGACATGATCGTTACCCTCTTTCACTGCGCCGCGCGGGACTTGGCCATTCCAAGAAGCGGAGCATGAGCGAGCAATGGAAAATAGTCCAGCCCGGCCCGAGCCTATGGGACAGGAAGATGAGATATATGCAAATAGGAAAACCGAGGGATAGTCCTTTCGACGATGTAGGCTATACCAAACTCCAGTCTAACTTATTTCCCCTGTGGATGCTTTTGTTCTAATGCACAGATCTAGGTCTTCATGGTTTCGTCAATCAATCACCACTTCGCGATACTACGCCTCCGCGTGCATGCCAATTATATAGAGTGGCTCAAAACCGGGAAAACGAACTTCCCAGTTGAAGATGCTGAACAACCTTGGCATAGAATCGTATTACGCCGGACTCGGTGGTTTGACTTCTTCAATCCTGAAGACCGCGTGGCAGGTCTTGATGCGCTGTGGACAATCTTCTCGTACATGATGAGGCCCGAAAACTAGTGCAGTGCATTGCGGTGGATATAAGCCGACAAAATCCATATTCCTTCAGAGAGATAAAAATACACTTGAGAGTTTGACGTCTAGCTGACCATCATTGTTCGACGGGTATCCAATCTTCTACAAGCTCTTTATTTCCTTTCTTGATGCTTTTCATGGATTGGTTTATTTCTTTTTAAGACCCATCATTTCTACATTACTTGAATTTTTTTCTTTTCTCCTTTTCTCTCTTATTTTATATTTGAACCCCCTTTTCAAATGATGATGCGATTTCAGTTTACTTTAAGCTTGGGTTTTGGAAATGACTGGCATACACAATCTACTTCACACGTTTGATGACATGCTTACCAAGCCAGTGGATTTAGAAGAATGACATCCTCCTTTCTCTGTTCAAAAATAGACAACTTTTCAACCTAAGCTAGCTCTCTTATTAAAGGAAGTTTCTACTACTACAGGGAGGAGTTCTATCTCTCGAGCTCTGGCTGGCTTTTCTAGGAATTATACACTATCTAACAAAGTAACATGCAGGCTGCAACCCCCCTTTTTTACTTCATGTGAAGTCCTGAAAAAGAGCCATGATACCAGTCTCCTCCATTTGGGGGGGGGGGGGGGGGGGGGGGGGTCAAGGCAGATCAAACACTGCAGAGTATGGGAAATTCCAATCGCAGCTCAGTTTGACAGTGACACATGTGTACACCAGTTATTGATGTAGGCTTATGGATTTGAAAAACCATTACCAAAGCCTATCCGATAATCTGCAAGAGGTTTGGTGATGAGGAATTCCCAACCACTCCCCCTCTCTGGGGGATGTGTCCATTGCTCTGAATATCCCGTAACGAATTTTTCTCTCGTAAAAACTCCCCAACCTTTATCCATCTTTCTGGGTCAAAAAACAAACAAGAGGGAAAGAGGGAAAAAAGAAAAAATAAAGATAAAAGAGAGAAGAAGAGAGAGGGGGAAAAGGGGGGGTTAGGAGCTGTCACAAATGAACTTTTGATTGGCCCCATTTTGCAACGCAATAGCCGTGATGAGCATATCATTGTTAGAAGGGCTGGTGGGAGATGTGTCCTGCAGGACACCATGCACGTAAATCCTTCAGCGTCAGAGCACCTTCGGATCAAGGCCGAGAGCACCAGCAGAGACTTGTATGATGTACATCCAATACAATGCGTGCTAAATTTGTTCTTTTGTTGATGAATTCTAAGTTCTCTTTGGAAGGAGGCGCCTCACGATGAGGTTGGACGCGCGACCAGTCCGGGCCCTGATCCCTACCACGAGGGGGTTATGGGAATGTTTGAGGGCAGGGGACATGTGCTGCAAAAAAAAAAAATGCAATCGTTCTGCCACCTCCGAACATTTGAAAGGGAGAAAAAACGGGATGATGTTTGGAGATAAAATAGAAAAGAATGGAATGGAATGTTTGAGAAGGGCTGAATTGGGTTGAAATTTCTCTTTTGTTGAGATACGGAGTCGATCATAGTCAAAGATACGCATGCAGAACCGGGGCCTTGCATGGGTCAAGAAATCCACACACCAGGGTCGTGGAATCCACATTTCCCTGCTCCTCTCCACGGTCAAGAGACAGTATGCAGACTTGACATTGCCTTGAAATGCAGGTGCTGCAAGGGTTCGGTTATTTCTTGTCCCAGTGGTACTATTCGGAAAATCGACAGGCCCTGACAAGTATAATGGACGCAATAAGAAGCTGCAGACCAGGAGCAATCTGTAATTATTAAGGTCCCTGGATCAGGGGCAGAGAGAATATATCCATACTTGGACAAGGTCCCAGGACGCTTTTGACAGTTTGCCGTGGCATCCAAAGCCGCAATCATTATAGCGTAGCACACTCCGCGAGTTTTCACTGCGCAATGTCTCCCTCGAGCTTTTGAGTCTACTCCTGTGGTAGGAGCAACAGCCTTTTTTTGGGGGGAAATAGACCTCAAGCTTAAATCCGGGGAGCAATGAAGGGCAACTCCGGACACAGAGAGCCGGAGCTAGGCCTGCGGTCCTTCAGAGATCCACTTTGGGGGGGGGGGGGGGGGGGGAGGAATTCGACCTGCATCGGGGCACCGAGAGTGCGGGCAGCTATCGCCACAGGTCTATGCGAATCGGATACGGAGTATATACATGGGTGAATGACCATGTCCTCCGTATGTTTGTGCGCATCTTTCCTCGGGATTCTGTGACGGTACGCCGAGACAGTCGACGAAGCTTCACCCGGATTGGGTAACAGAACAGGGTGATTGAGAAGCAATTGTTGAGGTAGAGAGCATGCTTCAAGACATTCATCTTGTGAAGGTGAGACGGATTTTCGCGAGGATGTGCAGGATACGGAGACAGTGGGGAATGGAGTATACGTGCTCCGCGAGGACAAGCATGAGCAGGGAGAGGAATTCATCGGCAAGACAAGGAAGTGTGACAATGGCTCCAGTACTTAACTTTAGGTGAAAGCTTAGAATCCAACTCCAAAAAATAAAAGGAAAAGGAAAAGGAAAAACAGAAAGAGAAAAAAGTAAAGCCGAAGAGAATGTCAGTGTAAAGGGATTCCTTGTTTTTTCAAATCCCGGATTCTTCAGCGGAGGTTGAAGATGTCGCACAAAACACAAGCAATGTGGATAAAATCAACCCTGCGGGCACTGCAGTGACAATAGTGCTTTTTCTTTTGTTATCTTTTCTCTTTCTTTCTTCCTTTTTTTTTTTTTTTTTTTTTTTTTTTTTCCCTGTAAAACTTGGTTAGTTAATCACCTCACTTTGCCCCAATCCAAACATCCCAAACAGCCCCAGAACAGTGACTATTTTCCACCTTGATGGCCAGAGCTCCATTGTCATCAGACGCGCATCAGACTCGGTGCCGACTGCACAATCTACCTGACGAATCACCTATCCTGGTGCCCTGCAGGGAGGTCATGTGCTGAGTTTTGACCAGGACATATCTTGTTCATGAAACGATTCTGCTGCACTGCTTGACGCTCGACCCGTGTACGTCAAATGGGTAAATATCAATGGTATCGATATCCCGCTTGTCCTGCGTTCAGAGGTCGCCGAAGTCCAGAATGCCACTGCGGTAGTTGTGGATACACATCTACGCCTCATTCTCGCAGCCAACGAAGATCAGAGGCTTTCTGGATATCTTCAATACTAACTTTAACCCTGGAATTGCACGATTCATTCAATTCCCGCCCCCTGGTTTTGCTACCAAATATATCGAACCTCTTTACTTTTGTTTTCCCGCTCGCCTAACCCCTGCGTTTGCCTATCGCAGTTATGGCGATCGGCCCTACCCTTGTTCATGAGGCGCCTATGCCATGAAGTATGTCTTGAAGTATGGGAAATCTCCAAGGAACAATACTCAGCACAACCACGCTGCAGGGGAGCATCATGAGGCGCTTGAGCAGGGAGAACCCATTCATTCAACCCTGGAAGAGCTGCTTCGGCGGGCACTACTACTGCACGGGATTCATCTGTCCCGTTCCTGCATGAGTAAATATCACAAGGGAATTCCACTCGCTCCACTGCTAATTTTGTGCGTGCGTGTGTGTGTGTGTGTGAGATTGAGTGAGATAGAGACAGTGAGAAAATGGGACGGGTATATTTCCAGGTTCCTCACCCGCGCCCACCTCCTGACCTTCATGCTCCGTACGGAAGATGTGCAGTCTTACTGGGGGACGGGATGCAAGGGTGGCTTTCGTACTCCGTCTACTTCAGACCTTAGCTAGTCAAGAAGCTAGTGGCCGTCCCGACGCCGTCTTACTGAGAAATTATGATGTTCGGCGAGGGTACTGCCAGCCTCGCGCGTCCCCATAACCGGGGGCGTGGGACATGTATGTGGTTAAGCAGGATGTATAACCTTATATTCTTCTCTCTTCGAGTCTTGACGTTTCGGATGATTTGGCCCGAGAAGGTACAATCAGTATATTGCACATGCACGGAGTACGGAGTATGTAGTGCAGCTCTGTCTTGGACATTTTCGAAGTCTCGATTCATGGGACGAGGTACTGTACATTCCTCATCTCATCATCTTCTCGCCGAACGGCATCGAGAACCATCAAGCGGTGAATTGGCGAAGAATGCGGATCCTTTTTTCTTTTCCTTTCTTTTTTTACTTTTTTGTTTCTCTTCTTCACTGATCCCTCTTTCTTATTGCTTTTTTTCCTCTTATCTTGCTTGATCCCAAACTAACCCCCACGGAGCAGGAAAGAGTGGCAAAGGCGGCGCCAAAGAGCAGAGGAATAATACGTACATACATCCTCCCGTATAAAAGTTCAGCAAATGGTTTCAGTGACCCTTGGCAGAAATCTTCCCCTCCCCATCTCACACAGCCCACAGCCCACAGCCATTTTGAGGAGAATTTTTTTTTTTTTTTTTTGGGTGACCCGTGAGGCAGATGGGATTTGCAAGTGGAGCGGTCGTTCAACTAGCGCGTCCATGTCCAACGGTCGGGACGAAGGTTGTGGAGAAGGTTAGTTCTGGAGTCGGTTAACCAACTTAAAGCCAAACTCTCATTCAGTGGCCTTTTGCCAAGGCTAATGCCTGTGGAGTTGACTAACAGCGACTCGAAAAGGAGAGAGGTTGGGGCCGAAGTTTAGGGTGAGTGTCGGCTACGATACCGGGTCTTTGTATTGGTGCATGTTTACGCGTGTGGTGTGTGTGTGTGAGAGATAGACGAATGGTGAAAAACTTCCAAGTCGAAGAGAAAAAGAGGACGGCCAGTTTGACTAACTACTCCGTATGTACGTTTGAACTGCTCAAACCTCTCCCGGCAACCCCGTCGCTATCCTCCAGGATGCTGCCCATAAATACATACATGTGGACGTGCCGGACTGTCCTCGGTCCTATATGGCTGAGATGCTGTTTGGGCGAGTGACTCCTTCGCATTAAGACAAGGGCCCCTGTCGTAACTATGGATTGGCAGGCAAAAGCCTGAGCGTGGGTGGACAGGATTATCCAATGCCCGTGTTTCTGGGAGCTTCAGAGCTCTGTACGATGCGATTTTGTGTCAAAATCTGAGGGGTTCCGCCTCGCGCCGCCCTCTTGGCCTTCCGCCGGTTCAAAAGTTA